CAGATACTGAAAGGCCGAAACGTTGTAATAAACATGGCGACAAAGATGAGGACAATAGTCCGAATGATGCAAATAGTGTACATAATACCTCATCTCAGAAATATAGACAGAAACTGAAAGGCCGAAACTTTGTAATAAATATGGCAACAAAGATGAGGACAATTGTCCGAATAATGTAAATAGTGCACATAATATCTCATCTCAGAAATATAGACGGATGATGAAAGGCCAAAACGTTGTAATAAATATGGCGACAAAGATGAGACAATTGTCCGAATAATGTAAATTGTGTACATAATAACTCATCTCAGAAATATAGACAGATACTGAACGGCCGAAACGTTGTAATAAATATGGCGACAAAGATGATGACAATAGTCCGAATAATGTAAATAGTGTAGCTATTATTGCTAATCAAATCTTCTCACCGACGGAATCCGGAAGGAAGTGGATGGTTTGCAATATTATGGGTGGCGGTTCCTGTCTATGAAGGTTTTAAGGAATGCAGTTCGTCCTAGCACTTTCCATGGAAGTTACGATAGAGCAGTAAAAGGCTTGCCAGACTGTTGACATTCCACACGATTTCGAACAAAAAGATAGAAAAGGAGCAACGATCAATACTAGAAAGAGCAATTCCAGTGAGTGAACTTGAGATATTTTCCAGAAAGAAAAAAAGAGTTTTATAAATTTCAACTGACAGTAGCAATGGCTGCTCAGTCAATGAATAGTAACTAATATGGAAAAAGCTAATTTTATGTTAATTTTTATAATACGGATGTAACGATAACAATCAATCTGTTAATTTTCAAATTATACACAAAAGTGATTAGCAATAATAACTAATAATAGAAAGAACAAATAAAACAATATACTTTAATAAAAGTTTTTTTCACCTCAAGCAAGGCAATAAAGCCACTAGGTCGCAAGAGGTTAATAAATGTTATAGAATATGAGGAAAATTACTATTAAGGAGAGAGGATAATAAAAGAAGACAGACGATAACGATTGGCGTTGCATTTAAATTTTTGAAGATCAAATTTGACTGGGAAGCAAGAAGCCGGAAGGGAGTTCCACTATCAAAAAGTGAGATGGAAGAAACTGTTAATATAGAACTTATGGTTAAATCTAGTCATTCCAACTTTAAAATGATGGGACCTTTCCGCCAATCTAGTACTGCGCTCAAATTCATAAAATCTATGTACCGTAGAGAAAAGTTCATAAGAATAATTACCATGGGAATATTTATAGAAAAGACACAGGGAAGCTACGTTACGGCGGTGGGAAAGAGACTGAAGCCGAGATGCCAGGTCAAGATTAATAACAATGCAGATTCTTCTTTGGATGTTATATAAAAAAAAAACTCCAAATTTATAGCAGAAGCAAATGTGGCAGCAGTACTCAAAACAAGAACGAATGGTAGACTTATAAATATGTAAGAATGATTCTGTCGAGAACATCTTTCTCGCACGACATATTGAATCAACTTTCTTAGCTGCAGACTTAACAATTGATTGGATATACTCATTACACTGGGGCACCTCGAAGCAGTATAATGGTTAGCAAGCTTGTCTCGCTAGAACAATTACGACTGAGTAGTGAGTTCGATCCTCGCTGGGTGCCCCATACTTTCGGCCTTGTGCCACATCCAAGCTACGCTTCGAAAATCATTTACTCATTACACTTCATGCCAGTTTAAGTCCGAAAGGCGTAAAAATCAGTCTTTTGAAGGTTAGCATCAGTCATGCTGGTAGAATGTAAAAGGGTTCTTTCGATTATTAAAAGAGAGCAGTTTTATGTTTGAGGAGTTAAAATTAACAAGCTACTCATTGCCCGATTTAACAACAGATTTTGGGCCATTTTTTAAGATCAACTGCCAATTTGATCTTATCGAACCGATCAGATTTACTCTTAAGACAGGAATAAATAGTTGTGACATCAACATCGATGTAGCAGAGAGATTTGTACATCCCTGTTGCTTTCGTTTTGTCATATGTAACTTGCCAATATCACTACTCCTGTAGTAAACGCGTTAGGTCCCGTCAAATGACAGGCGGAAAATTTTGCGTTGAAACGACTGTCAGTACTTGATGCCTTAATAAAGCTGATGTGCCTAGGTTGGTAAAAAGGTCCCACAACTGATACTGATTTTTTGAACTCAGGATTATCATGCTCTTTATGTACCGTGTCCCTTCAGGACGTGGCGATCACGGCTCTCCACTTTCTCTATCCCTTGTAGCTCTCAATAAGTTTCGTCCCTCTGGTAACTCCTCCAGACCACGTTATGTCATCCATTTGCTTAAGTCCGCTAAGTATGTCATGCGTTGCTTTCCCTTGTCTCTCTTTCTTTCTATTCGACATGTGAGTATCAAATTCTCCAGGTCCGCCTTTCTCATTATGTGTCCCAAAAGCTTCAGGTGACTCCTCCTGGCGTTAAGTATAAGCTTCCTCCTTGTTTGCACCCTCTCCAAAACAACGGGACAAGAACCCATGAAAATTAAAG